GCCTCACTGTAGCCCCAGCTGACCCAGAACTTGCAATGTAGACCAGGCTGACCTCAATCTCACAGAGATCCACCTGCCTCTGCCTCCCAAGTGCTGGAATTAAAGGTGTGTGCCACCACTCCAGGCTTCCAGATCCCTTTTTCAAAAAGCTTAAAAAGGCCAAGAGTGTTGTATAACACGGGTGCACTTAAACACATGCAGGCAATACACTCATACATATAAAATAAAAATAATAAATTTTTAAAAAGGCCGTGTGTGATTGCACATGCCTTTAATCCCAGCATTCCAGAGGCAGAGACAGAGGCAAGTGGATCTCTGTGAGGTTGAGGCCAACCTGGTCTACAGTCCCAAGCCAGCTGGGGCTATAGGAGTACCCTGTCTCCAAAAACCAAACAAAAACAAAAGTTTGAAAAGAAAGGAAGGGAGGGAGGGAGGGAGGAGGCTGGAGAGGTGGCTCAGCAGTTAAGAGCACTGGCTGCTCTTGCAGAGTTCCCCAGGTTTGGTTCCTAGCACCCACATGGTGGTAAACAACCATTGGTAACCCAGGTTCCAGGGGATCCAACGCCCCCTTCTGCCCTCCACAGGCACTGCACACACAGGTGCACTTACGTATATGTAGGCAATACACTCATACACATAAAAAAAAATATTTTTTGGAAGGAAGGAAGAGAAAGAAAATAAAAGAAAGCAAGGTGGGGATTAGCTCGATGGTAGAATAGTTGCCTGGCAAGAGATTTTTGGTTCAGTTCACATGCCCACACATGCACACACACACATTTGTACTCACATATTTGCATGCATGCGCACACACACAAACACAGTTCCCATGTACCATAGTTGTCCTGCCATGCTTAAACTTCAGTGGTGGTAGTCCTTCATAAAGGTTACTGACTATATCCATGGCTGTCCTTGAGCCATTGTCCCAAATCCTGCCATGGTCTCATTTCTTCCCTCTGACCCCATCCTGCTCTAGAAAGCCTTCCCCTTCCCGTTAACTGCCTCATCAGTTTGTGTCTCCTTCAGTGTCCTTGTTATGCTCCAATTTTCTTTCTAGTACTTTGCTAAAACCTGGTTTTTTCCAGGCCAGCAGGTCCTCCCGCTGGGCCTGACTCAGCTCCCACACCCCCACAGAGCCCCAAGGTGAGTCCAGAGTCCTCCTGCTGCTCAGGTTTCTTGTTGCATGCGGTCCCTCTCCTGTCTTCTGCTGATAACCAGTTACATCACCATTCACCTCTGCTCCAGTTCCATCTCTTACACCTGGCACCTTGGACCTGTTCTTTCCAGAATCATCTGCCTCTGCTGTGGAAAATTCGCTCTCAGTATCTTCCTGCCCTTTCACTCCTTTCCAATGTATCCTTCAGCTCTGTCGGGATGTGTGACCTTGGGACTTCTGAGCTTGCTCCTGCCTCCCCACCCCCAGCTGGGCCTCAGGTATCTTTTAGACATTTTCTGGCACAGGATTCAGCCCTTGCCTTCCATCCTTCCTGCCTGGTGCAGTCCGAACCTCCATCCCTGATCATATCCACTGATGAAAGGCCACCGAGTTCCTTGTGGACTCATGACACAGTGAGTTCAAAGTCTCTTACATCACTAAGCCCCTCTTCTCCAGGCTGCCTAGAAACATTTCCTGTAGTCCTTGTTGGCCTGTCTCGGGCTCTAGGACAGTTAATTAGGCATTTCCTGATATGGAATTCTTCACCTTCACCTCTCCTGTCCCTCCCAGAAAAATTTCTTCACCTTTTTGTTGTTTCTGTTTTTACTATTCTCAGACAGGGTCTTATATAATGTATCCCAGACTGCCTTCAAATGGCTGTGTAGCAGAGGATGACTTTGAACCTTGATCCTTCTATCTCTCCCTCCGATGTGTTGGGACTCCAGGTGTGTGCCATCATGCCCAGATTATGCAGGGCTGGAGATCGAAGCCAGGACTCTGCACATTAGGCAAACACTCCAACTGATCTACATCCCCAACCCTTTCTTTTTTCTTTTTTATTTTGTTTTAATTATACATATCTGCATCTGTGTGTAGCTTTGTGTATATGTGTATGGGTGCCCATGGAACTCGGATCCTCTGTGGAGCTGGAGTCACAGATGGTTGTGAGCCTGAGAACAGAAATCTCGTCCTCTGCAAGAACAATATTTGCTCTTAACCCCTGAACTATCTCTCCAGTCCTCTTTTTTTTTTTTTTAAGCTTTTGGCAGTTCCGAAGCTTTGTACATGATAGACAAGTACTCTGTTAGTGAGCTTATCCCCACCCTTACTTACTTTTTGAAATAAGATGTCATTCAGCCTCACACTTCTAAGCACTAGGATTGCAGGCAAGTACCATCATGCCAGTTTACCGTACCTCTTCTACCCCAGCTAAAATTGAGGCCACCAGCAGCAGTCCTCAAATTGTATGGATCACACCCATCCTTAGCTACTTCCCTCCAGATGGAGAAGAGGACCCTGTCAGCCTCAGCCCAGTCATGCCAGTAAGAAGTCATCCATTCTGTAGAACATTTATTTTATGGAATTAAGTGTTACCCTAGTCTAGAATAAAAAATGAAGCCAATAAAGATTATTGGATTTAAATCAGGCATGATGACACATGCCTTTAACCCCAGCATTTGGGAGGCAGGCACAGGCAGAGGTAGGCAGATTTCTATAAGACCAAGGCCAGCCTGGTCTACAAAGAGAGTTCCAGGCCAGTTGGGGCTACAAGGAGACCCTGTTTCAAAAGAGGGAAAAAAAGAAGGAAAGAAGAAAATGATTAATGAACTTAAAAGTAATGGAGCTGGGAGTGATAGCTCAATAGGTTAAGAGTGCTTGCTACTCTTCCAGAGGACCTGAGTTCAATTCCTAGCATCCTTGTTGGGTGTCTCATAACCACCTGAAACTCTAGTTTCAGGGAATCTGACACACTCTTCTGGCCTCCGGGGATACTTGTACACTGTGGTACACACACACACACACACACACACACACACACACACACACACAGATAAATAATCTTTAAGAGTAAATAAAATAAAAGTAATGTATTCTGTGTTCTGTCTGCCCAGCCCTGACTGTCCCGCCCATGGACATACGTCCTAAGAGACCCCTGTTCCCCATGTTCCCTGCCTTGTCATTTACTCACATCTACTGCACTCTGACTGCTTTTAATTTTTTTTTAATGTTTTATTCATTATTTTCATTTTATGTGTATGAGTGTATTGCCTGCATGTATGTGAGCGCACCAGTGTCATGCAATGCCGCGGAGGTCAGAAGAGGGCTTCGGATTCCCCTGGAACTGGAGTTAAGGGCAGTTCATAGCTGCCATGTGGGTGCTGGGAATCGAGTCCGGATCCTCTGTAAGAGCAGTCAGTGCTCTTAACCGCTGAGCCATCTCTCTAGCCCCTTTTTTAAGTTTTTTAAAAATTTATTTTAAGGGCTGGGCGTGGTGGCTCATGCCTTTAATCCCAGTACTTGGGAGGCAGAGGCAGGTGGATCTCAGTGAGTTCAAGGCCAGCCTGGCCTACATAGTGAGTTCCAGGACAGCTGGGGCTACAGGGAGACCCTGTCTCAAAAAAGACGAAAAATAAAATAAAAAGTTATTTTAATTTTATGTAAATGAGTATTTTGTCTGCATGTATGTAAGCAAACATAATGTATCCATGTCATGAAATGCCCAAGGAGGCCAGAAGGTGTCAAATCTCCTGGAACAAGAAGTTTGTGGGCCACCATGTGGGTGCTGAGAACTGAACCCTGGTCCTCTGCGAGAGCAACCAGTGCTCTTAACTGCTGAGCCATCTCTCCAGTCATCCCACCCACCTTTTAAACTCTTCTGTGTATTTAAGTATGTTCCCAGAGGCCAGGCCTCTCAGTGTGGAGTGAATGTTTGATTGATACCCCCTGTGCAGAGGAGGCCTGAATGGTAAGAATTGGCAACCAACACCCATCAGTAGGTCCAGATAGGGCTATTCGATGAGGCCTCTGTAATTCATGCCATCTTTGAGGCTCAGCCTGGGACTAATGGAAGCTTACACTGGGAAACTTATGCTCCATTTCCAAATGTACCCTGTGTAGGTGACTTTTGACAGAAAGCTTGTATCTCAAAGGTATCAAAAATAGATGGAGTAATGTCTCACATTGAGTATATTTACTCAAGCAAAGAAGACTCAAGGAAAAAAAATTCTAAGCTAAGCATGGTGGCTCACACCTGTAATCCCAGCAGTTGGGAGGTATAGGCAGGAGGATCAGGTGTTCAGGGTCAACCTAAACTACATAGCAAGTTTCAGGACAGCCTGGATTATATGAAACCCTTTCTAAAAGTGAATAAATAAATCTAAACACCCGTTGAGCAGACCCCAGATGGCTTGTTTGATGTCATGTGCATATAGATAGCCATTAAGTATCAGGCTACCCATACATCTGCTAGCAAGCCCTCAAATTTCTCACCCAAGGTGGGTGACTTGCTGATATAAGGCCAGACTTGCCTGGAACATGGTCCCCTGGATTTGCCAAGCATGTATTTCTCTTCAAGCCAATTTCCAATGATGCTGGTGCCAAGTAGGCCTCTCAATTCACACAGAGAGACTCCTCAATCCTGGGCACTTTGGAGGCAAAGGAATTAATGGTAAAGGTAGGAAATGGAGGTCTGTCTACCTGGATCCTCTTTCCTGGAGAGAGATTTTTCAGGCTGTCCACTAAGTTCTAGATATGCCCTGCAGTACTGGGCAGGGCCACTGTTCTGAGTCCCAAAGGAGACAAATTGCCAGTGGTTTGTGTGTGTGTGTGTGTGTGTGTGTGTGTGTATGTGTGTGTGTGTGCCTTCTACCATCCTGTCTGTCAAAACTCACATTATTTTATGTGTGTGTGTGTGTGTGTGTGTGTGTGTGTGTGTGTGTGTGTGCCTTCTACCATCCTGTCTGTCAAAACCAGAACTGGACAAGTCATGGAAACATCTAGAAGCATTGGTAGAATGTTGTGGACACTCTGGTCAGTACCTGCTAATGTCTTGACATTTGTCTTTCAGACGGAGGTTCCGTGGTGAAGGCCCGAGTGCTGACCTGTGTGGAGGGGATGAATCTGTCCTTGTTAGAACAAGCCATCTGTGAACAGAGGCTGTACCAGCAAAAAAGGGACAAGAAGGGAATAGCGACCACCAGCACCTACCAAACCCTTCCACCTGCTCCTGAGCCACTACAGACCGTAGACACTCCCCCCGAGTGACAGCCTGAAGAGCAGAGGGGCAGGTGCCCCTTCCCAGAACTTTGGACTGGCCCATAAATCAAAGCCCAAAGAGCAAGTGTTGAGATCTGACACCCCATGCCAACATGGTGACACATGCCTGTAATCCCAGTGCTTGGGAGGCAGAGGCAGGAGAATGAGGTATTTAAGGCCAGTCTGACTACACGATACCCTGTCTCAAAATCAAAACAAAAATTTCTGACTCCCCCCCAAACACCCCCCAAGAGACTACAGGGAGTGAGCTGCTGGGCCCTGGGGCTTATGTGGAGCCTGGAGGGTTCCTGGATGTCCTTGTGAATAAAGGGTGTCATCTTACAATGTGTGTGTGTGGTGCAGCGCCAGCTGGGGCCAGTAGGGGGAGCCACAGGCAGCCTGCCTGACAGAAAAGCTGCAGCCTGCTGAGGGGTTTCTGGTGACTTCTGGGCTGGGAGACTGGGAGGGAAAGGTGAGTAGCCCAGAGGCAGAGTTGGAGGGCGTTGAGACCCAGAGGGGTCACCCCTACTGAGGTTCTGCCCTCAGAAGAAGCTAAGAATTGCCAAATAGGCCAAGACAGGGCCCTGGGTCCTGACCATGTGGCCCAGGGCAGGACTGTGGCCTCAGAAACCCTTGCTGACTCCTAACCTCAGCCTTGTGCTGTCACCCACTGCTGTGTAGCTTTTCTGGGTAGAGTTTTGTGACCCCAGAGCATAGGTTTGCCTGGGCTGAGGCGCGGGCTGAGGCGCAGTCCGAGGCAGGAGTAGTATGGACTGGTCGATGGAGAACAGGCCTGGGGCTGAGTTGGAGGCTCTTGGGGCTCTGCTGGCTCCTGACCCTGAGCCATCCTCCCAATCAAGATGGGTTGCAGGCAGCCCAGGTAGCAAGCTAGGCAACCTGGGCCTGGGCTCGGCAGGGTGTTTTATGCAGGTTGGAGTGGGGTGGGTGGCACAGATGCTGTGTGTGGGACTTGAAAGGCTGGATGCCGTGTTTCCCTGGCAGCTCCACAGACATGGATGTGTTCCAGAAAGTAGAGAAAATCGGAGAGGGCACCTATGGGGTCGTATATAAGGCCAAGAACATGGACACTGGGCAGTTTGTGGCCCTCAAGAAGATCAGGCTGGATTTGTGAGTGTTGGGACAGTCCTGGGGCCCCATCTTTCCCCCAGGGAAATACCATATCCTGCCTTCATTTGAGGGGCTTGCATTCAAATCTGGGATGACCACAAAGAGGTAGCCCTTACCTGTCCATGTTCCACCTCCCTGTCCTGTGACCAGCGTTTGCCCAACCTCTGTGGAGCTTGGTGGTTATGTGCTGAGGAGCACAGATCCTCCATCTTGGACAGGCCTTCTGTGAAGAAATGAACCCCCTGGGCCAGAAGTGACTCCTCCTTGTGCTGTTGGGGTTCTATCTTTTCCTACAGGGAGACCGAGGGGGTCCCCAGCACTGCTATCAGGGAGATCTCCTTGCTCAAAGAACTGAAGCACCCCAACATTGTCAAGTGAGTAGGGAAAGAAAGTGGGGGAGCCCGAACCCTGGATAGCACATCCTAACTGGCATCTCCCCGCCAGGCTGCTGGATGTGGTCCATAGAGAGAAGAAGCTGTGCCTGGTATTCGAGTTCCTCAGCCAGGACCTGAAGAAGTACCTAGATTCCACCCCAGCCTCAGAGTTTCCCCTGCGCTTGGTCAAGGTACCCAGGGAAGGACCAGAGGGCAATCCTACAGCCCCCACCCCCGACAGCCACCTTCCGCTTAGTTAGTGGCTCTCATTCTTCTCCACAGAGCTATCTCTCTCAGCTGCTGCAAGGGGTGAATTTCTGCCACTCCCATCGGGTCATCCACCGAGACCTGAAGCCCCAGAATCTGCTCATCAATGAGTTCGGAGCCATCAAGCTGGCTGACTTTGGACTGGCTCGAGCCTTTGGGATACCCCTGCGCACCTACACCCATGAGGTAGTGTGGGCCAGGGGCCAGGGGACCGAGGACAGCCAAAGGATGTCACTGGTGCAGTCAGCCACCCTGAATGATGCCGCTTCTTGCCTCCATAGGTGGTGACACTGTGGTATCGTGCCCCGGAGATCCTCTTGGGCAGCAAAATTTATTCAACAGCTGTGGACGTCTGGAGCATTGGTTGCATCTTTGCAGAAATGGTAGAGGGGAGCAGGCTGGGCTAGGGTATATCACAGTGGAAGAATGTTTGCCTAGTCATGTGGGAGGTACTGGGTTTCAATTCCCAATACTGAAAGAAAAAAAAAAAAAAAAGACAGGCTTTGAGCCTAGAGGCTGGGGAGATGGCTCAAAGAGTAGAGGCACTTGCTGCCCAGCCTGACGATTCGACTTCCCTTCCCTGGAATCTACATGGTAGAAGGAGAAAATGGAAGTTGGCCTCTGACTTCCACACATGTGTTTTGACAGGCATACACATGCACACACACAACAAACAAATAGATGTAAATTTAAAGAATTGAAAAAAAAAAAAAGCCAGGTGTGGTGGCGCATGCCTTTAATCCCACCATGCAGGAGGCAGAGGCAGGAGGATCTCTGTGAGATGGAGGCTGGCCTGGTCTAATAGTGAGTTCCAGGTCAGCTGGGGCTTACAGAGAGACCCTGTCTCAAAAAGACAGAAAAACAAAAACAAAAAAAAACCTTGAACTGGGATAATCTTAAGTTCAAGGACAGCCATAGTAACATCTTGTCTCAAAAAAAAGTGGCGGGGGGTGGCTGGGACTGGAGAGATGGTTCAGTGGTTAAGAGCACTGACTGCTCTTGCAGAGAACCCAGATTCAATTCCCAGCATCCACACGGCAGCTAACAACTGTCTGTAACTCAAGTTCCAGGGGATTCAGTGCTCTCCTTTGGCCTCCATGGCATTGTACACATGGGTATACTTAGATACATGCAGACAAAACACACACACAAAATAAAAATAAATGAACAAAACAAAGAACAACAAAAAGGGCTTGCTAGATACGGCGGCACACACCTTCAATCCCAGCACTCAGAAGTCAGAGGCAGATAGATCTCTATGAGTCCAGGGCCAGTCTATGGGGGTACATAGTAAGACCATGTCTAAACAACAACAACAAAAAAAAAACAAGGAACGGAGTTCAATGGTACAGCAACTGCCTAGCATGTGCAAGGCTCTGGGTTCAGTCCCAACCACTGTGAAAAATAAAACAGGAGAGGGATAAGGCTGATGGGGAGGTGGGGGAGGAGGATTTCCTTAAGTTCAGGGTCAACCTGGGCTACATAGTACTAGGGCAGTCAGGAACCTATTGGGGTTTTCTTCTATTAGAGATGGATTGAGGGGTGTCTATGGCTGAATGGGGAAGCCAGCCTTATTCCAGAAAAGACTAGAATTTTTAATATAGCCCTGGAAAAGATATCTTGATTCCCTGTGCCTAGCCACTTACCCAGTGTTGGACTCTATATGAGAAAGCATCATGTAAAACCCACATTCTGCCGTCTTTCCTGTTCTAGGTGACTGGCAAACCCCTTTTCCCTGGTGACTCAGAGATTGACCAGCTGTTTCGGATCTTTCACACCCTGGGGACCCCCAGTGAGGCCACATGGCCAGGGGTCACCCAGTTGCCTGACTTTAAGAGCAGCTTCCCCAAGTGGACCAGGAAGGGACTGGAGGAGATCGTGCCTAGTCTGGGACCACAGGGCAAGGACCTGCTCATGGTGAGTATGGGGGTGGGGGGGCAAGAATAGCACCCCACATATGGCAGCTGCTCCAGAGTGTCCCCTTTGTCATTGTCCTCTTGTGTAACTCACTCTGAGTCTGAGCTGATCTCATCTCTGACCCTTGTACACACTTGGCTTGTCCCTGCATATATTGATTATTCAGTTGGGAAGTCTCTCTCCTGTTAAGTCCAATGTTCATCTTCCCTTTTAAAACTCCTCTGATCTAATTAGCTTTGTTTTAGGGCCGTGACACTTGTCCCCCACTTTTTTGTTTTAGTTGCTAGGTGTTTCTGATTACTCACCCCTGTGAACTTTATGCCCCATCTAAGCGGATCACTTCCCTGGGTAGAGGCCACACCTCCTTGGTGTCACTTGGTGCTCCCCATAACCCTTTCTCAGAAGGTTGATCCTTCATTCAGGGCTGGCTGTTCAGAACAGATCATTCCCGGCTGACTTGCTCCCTGCTACTTTATCAACCCTGGAGCTGCCCAATAGGCCTCCGGCAGAGCCATCCCTATTTGCTCACAAAGCTTCGGATCTCATTTCTCTTTACACCCTGGTGTTGGGTCAGAGGAAGAAAGGGCAGGATTTTCATCTTCAGGCTGTGTGGTCAGCTCTCTAGACATCTGTGTATGTTGCCTACCCACCTAGTGCCAGCAGGATGGTATGTACTTCCAGCTAAGGCCTCTGGTCCTTCCTGTGCTATTTCCTGGAAGTGGTCCTTTCCTATCCTGAGTTTAGAGACCTAAGGGTAACGACCTAACCTGGATAGGCCTGGCCTTGGTTGTGTTAGTGCCACCTTCACTTTACTGTTATCTGTCCTGCCCAACCCCAAGTGCACACACCCTGGACAGGTTTAGGAAGGGTTGCTTATTAACATGAAACATACCTGCCTGTTCTCAACCAGAAACAGGTAGAACCTGAAGCCCTCAGCACAGAAAGAGATTGGTGGCATTTGGATTACCTGAAGGAGACCTGAATGAATCATAGGCTTGGAATCAAAACTAAGGCTTTAACCTCAGATTCTATGAGTGTCTAGACTTGGTCGAAAAGCTGACAGGCAATCAGGCATGTTGGCACATGCGTTTAATCCCAGCACTCTGGAGGCAGAGGCAGGTGGATGTCTGTGAGATCAAGGCCAACTGGTTTATATAACCAGTTCCAGGCTAGCTAGGACTACAGGGAAACCTTGTCTCAAAAAAAAAAAAAAAAAAAAAACAGCAACAAAAAGCTGAGAGGCTCAAGCAGGGGAGACGACTCCATCAGTAAATAAAGGGTGTTGGGGCTAGAGAGAGGACTCGGTGGTCAAGAGCACTGCCTGCTTTTCAGAGAACCTGGGTTTGATTCCCAGCACCCACATAGCAGCTAACAACCCTCTGTAACTCCAGTTCCAGGGGATATGATGTCCTCTTCTGGCCACTGAAAGCACTGCACAACACAGGTACACATACATACAGACAAAAGTCATGTACATAAAATAAAAATAAATAAATTTTAATTTTAGAAAAGGGTGGTGAGCAATAGAGGAAAGTGGAGGAACTGTATGCACACGCGCGGGCGCACACAGAGCTAGCTGGCAGGCAGTGGCTTCATGTAGCTCTGGATTTGAAAGCAGCCTCTCTGGATCTTAGGCCCTTCTGGGACCTTTGAAAAGAATTCCTCTTCCTACTCTGGTTGCACCAGGTTCAACCTCTGTCTTTCTTTTCCAGAAACTTCTGCACTATGACCCTGGTCAGCGGATCTCAGCCAAGACTGCCCTGGCCCATCCCTACTTCTCTACTGGGAGTTCCCCAGTCCCCTGCCACTACATGGTGGAGACTTTATGCCTCTAAGAATGGAGGTTGGGGGTGCACATCACCTCACATCCTTTCCAGCTGCCTCCTCACCCACTTTCCAAGAGAGAGAGAATTTGGGGAGAGAGCAAATATCTGAGAGTTTTACACCAGCTGTCAGAAGGCTGACTTTGGATTCGTTGGCAAGCTCCTGTGTTGTTTGTTGGGTTTAATGATGCACTTCCAAAAAGAATGCAGATACTGCATGTATGAGTGGCCCCCTGGCACTAAACAACAGGTGCCAAGTTAGTGAAGAGAAGGAACATTGCCCAAGCTGTGGGTAAGGGACTCCCTGGCCCTTCGCCTGTACCACAGTGGCTGCAGGGCCAGGCCCCAGGGAGAGGGTGCCCTCTGCTGGTCTTTTTTGGTAGGAAGCGTTGAGCTCTAGTTTAAACAGGTAGGGGAGGGAAGAAAAGGGGCAGTTTTCGGATCCCAGGAGTGGTCAGGGGACCTGAGAGCATTCTAAATGGTTGTCACATATGTCCAAGATAAGCTGTTGGTGTGACAAACAGGAAATAAATATGACTTACTCCTGAGTTTTCTGACATCATTCTGTCTATGTGGGACATATGGGCTTGCCAACAAAGGAGAGATTGACAGAGACCCAAACCAGGAGGTCAGGACTCTTCTATGCTCTTTTTTTATGATCATCTGCTACATCCATCCCTGTCCAGAATCCAAGCAGCTACCACCCATTTCTCAGGCAGGTGAGTTGAGCACATCCACCCACACACTTTGGGATGTGTCCAAGCAGATCTGCCCCGGGCCCAAACCCTAGACACATTGATCCCATCTCCCCAAATGTGAGCCAGATAAGGCACTGAGAGAATTCATTTATTGGAAGCATGGGGGAGGGGTGGGATGGAAAATGGAGCTCCCCGAGATTGGGGATGGAGCCCAACACCGTGAATGTTTGAGTAATAAGAAGAAATGGATGGACAGAGGGAAGACCCCCCACACCCCCCAGTCTGGGATTATTCTGCTCCAGGATGAAGGGTGTGTGCATCCTCTTTGTCTCTCTGCTTAGCACCCAGTCAGCGCACACAGGATCGTGGCAGGGTGGGAGAGCCTGCGCGGTAGCAGCGGTACCCTTCCAGCACTGCTGGGAGGAGCAGCAGGCCGCTCAGAGGGTCTTTGCGGCAGCGTCCCATGGCTTCCTTGTAGCTCAGCCGTTCCTTGGTGATGGGGTCTGTCAAATCCTTCTCATAGCCTGACTCATCCTGCAGAAGCTGGCCCAGGTCTTCACTGATCATGCCATAGAGCACAGCCTCAGGGACAGGGATACGGCCCGTCCTCCTGGGGTCAATGAGCCCCCCAGTCAGGTGTTGCACCAGCAGGTGCGGAAGCACACTCTCCTGGGGCATCCAGCCTTTCTGGATGGCCTCGCCCACCGACAGCCTCTTCTTGGTGACTGGGTCTTCAATGCCAGTGAAGGCCTTCTGGGCATTGAGTAGCCGTTGTGTGGAGGTGTTCTCGATGAGTCCCCGCTCCACTGCCTTGTGCACCGAGTAGCGTTCCCGGCTGAGGAGGTCTACAATGCCCCCTGTTGCTGCCTGGGCCTCCAGTAACTTCTGCCCGGTGATGGGGTCCAGCATGTTCTTGGCCACAGCCATCTTAATGCTGCACTTATTGTCTGTGGTTGTGTCGTAAACCCCAGCGATGGGGAAGCTGTCCTCAGTGAGCCCAAGAGAGAGGCCTAGGGATGAGGAACCGGTGTTCTGGGGGGCTGAGGAGCACAGTGGGGATTTGGAGATGATGGAGCCAATGGAGAGTGAGGGGCAGGGCTTGGTCTCCCCTGCCACAAGCAGGGCAAACTCAGAGATAGGGAGGCGTCCATCCTTATACAGGTGATACTCCTCCTTAGAGATGCGGTGGCAGCGGAGGGCAGCCTCGATGGAGTATTGCTTCCCACTCTTGCGGTCCAGGAGCACAGACTCCTCCCCACAGGGGCTTGAGGTAGTGACTTCCTCCCAGTCACACTCGAGCTCCTGCAGCTGGAGGTACTGGCCCCTGTCGATGATGCCCCTCTTGTAGGCCTCATAGGGAGACATGTCGTTCCCAGTCTCTGGTTCCAAGATGCAGATCTTGGTGGAAAGGTTCGTCTCTCGGGTCTGGGTCTCTTGGCTCAGCTCCTCCCGGCTCACCTTGGTGTGCAGATCCCGAAGGGTCCTCTCCTTCTCATAGATCTGGTCCTTCTCGTGCAGAATGGCTGCCTCCAGCTGCGACAGGGCCTGGCCCCTCTGGGCTGCCTTTTGGCGCTCGCTCTCCGTCTTCTGGCTGAGCAGTTTCCCTTCCTCCTGCAGCTGCAGGGCTCTCCGCTGCTTCTGCAACTCCAGCTCCCGCAGCTCCTTTTGCAGCCAGACACGGTGCTGGCTGGCCTGGTCCCTGGCCTTCTGCAGCTCAGCCTCCTCGCGGGACCAGGTCCTACTCAGTGCCTCGGCCCGGTCAATCCGCTCTTGCAGGCGTCGCACCTCCTCCTCCCGGCCTTGGCGCGCTGTACGCTCCCGGTTGAGGATTTCCCACACCCGGGCCCTCTCACCCTCCAGCACAGGGTCCTTCTCCACCCTGACCACTTCCTTATAGATCGTCTTCCCCTGTGACTTCGTCTTCCGAAGAAGGTCAATCTGCATCCGCAGGCTCTTGCACTCCCGGTGCAGCTCCATCACTTTCATCTTCTCCTGGTCCAGGTCTCTCCTCAGGGCTTCAGTGGACCTCTCCAGATCCGGGTCCTTCTCCAACTTGACCACTTCCTCCAAGATGATCTTCTCCTGCATGGCAGGAGGTCGCTTCTCCAGTTCCTGGATCTTCAAGGTCAGTTGTCTCACCTCCCTCTCGGCGGCCAGCTTCTTGGCGCGGTCCTCCTGGAAGCTGAGCAGGCCCTCCTTCTCCTCCACGCCCGCGCGCAGCTGCTGCACCTCGCGCTCCAGGCGCCGCCGGCGCCCCACCTCCTCATCCAGGCTGCAGCTCAGCCGACTGTGGTCCTCACGCAGCTTCGGATCTTTCTGGGTGACCACCACCTCCTGCACCACCACCTTCTCCTCCGGACGCCTCCTCTGCAGCAGCAGGTACTTGTTCTGCAGCTCATAGACCACGGCCTCGGTCGCTCGCCGCTTTTGAGTCGCCTCCCGAACTTCCTGGCGGAGCCGCTCGGCCTCCTTCTCCAGCACCTGGTCCTTCTGATGGCGCACCACTTCCTTGCTCACCACCTTGGTCTCCACCTTGGACCTCTCCCGCTTCCACTCATCCCGCTCCCCCCGCAGCCGGATGAGCTGCTCCTGGCAGCGCCCATGGGCGTTGACCAGTTCGTTAAGCTGAGCCTTGAGGCGGTCGATCTCACGCAGCACCTCCGGGCTCTGCTCGTGCCTCACCACCTCCTGGGTCACCTCCTTGTACTCCACCGTGGGCTTCTGGGCCCGCAGGACGTCCAGCTCGGGCAGCAGCTTCTCCACCTCCTGCTCCACGACGCTCCTCTTGCTGGCCGTCTCCTGCAGCTGGGCCTGGAGCCGTGCGATCTCCCGCTCCGTCTCAGGGTCGACCTGGAAGATCTCGTGGACCCGCTCCTGGAGCTGCACCCTTGGCTTCTGCTTCTCTGCCACGGTGTACTTGTCCTGCAGATCCCTCAGTTCTCTGGCCAGCAGAGCATTTTTGTTCTTCTCCTCCTCCAAGAGGCTTCTCAGCCTGGAGGCCTCTTTGAGAAGGCCAGGGTCCTGCTCAACCTTCTTCACCTCCTTCACAATGACCTTGGGCTCCACGGAGCTGATCACCTGCTCCAGGTCTTTGATGCGAGCCTGTAGCTTGACCACGGCTTCCTCTGCCCCCTTCCTCCGGGCAGCATCCGCCTCAATCTGCAGCCTTAGAGTCTGGGCTGCCTTGACCATCTCCAGATCCTTCTCCACCTTAACCACTTCTTTGACCACAACTTTCTCCTTCACATTTGCTTCCTTCTGCTCCAAGGTCAACAGCTCATCCTTCAACTCCTCCAGCTGGGCTGAGATGAGGGTATCCTCTCCACGTAGCCTCTGCATCTCCCCGTGTAGCTGGGTCGCCTGGCTGTCCAGGCTGGGGTCCCTCTCAATTTGGGTGACCTCTTTGGTCAGCAGATGAGGCTGCATGGTCTTCCTCTTGCCCTCCAGTTGGATGACCTTCTGGGCCACTTCTTCCAGCTCTGCCTGTAGGCCAGCTCGCCTCTTGCCCTCCTCTTTCACCTGGGATGACATCCTGGACAGGTTGCTCTCCAGCTGGGGGTCCCGGTAGAACTCCACCACTTCCTTCTCCTCCAGCCTCTCCACGGGCTGCTGGGTCCTCAGCTGCAGCAGGTGGTGCCTCTGCTCCTCCAGCTCCTGCTGCACCTGAGCCACTCGCTTCCTCTCCTCCTCCAGCTGGGACTTCAGGACCTCCGACTCCCTCCCTGCTTGTGAGGGGCTCACAGACCCCTGCTTTGCATCATGGGCCACTTGGATGTCCTCACTGAGCTCCTTCTGCAGAGTGAACAGAACGGGGGAGAGAACTGGGGTGAGCAGAGACCGAAGCCTCATTTTTCCTGCACCCGACCCCTGAGGTCAAAAGCCCTTCCTTGCTTCCCGAGGCTTCCCGGTAGATGCTGGGTGATGGAGTTAAACACTTGGGCTGTCTGAATACAGAATTTCAATTTTTTTATTTGTTTATTTTTATTTTATGTGTCTGCATGTTTCTTAAAAAATTTTTATTTTAAAAAATTTTTTTAAAAACTTACTTTTTACTTATTATTTTACTTATTATTTTATGTGTATGAGTGTATTGCCTACATGTAGGTAAGTGCACCCGTGTCGTACAATGCCCACGGAGGATAATAGATTTAGGTCTTTTTGAGACAGGGTGTCCCTGTAGCCCCAGCTGTCCTGGAACTCACTATGTAGACCAGGCTGGTCTTGAACTCACTGAGATCTGCCTGCCTCTACCTCCCAAGTGCTGGGATTAAAGGTGTGTGCTACCACGCCCGGAAACCCTTTTTTAAAAATATATATTTTTTTGACATAGGGCCTCATTCTGTAGCCCAGGCTGGCCTGGAACTTCCAATGTAACCCAGGTGGCTTGGAACCCAGAGTAATCTGCTTGTCCCAGCATCCCAAATGCAGGATTACAGTCATGAGCCACCATACCTGGCAATTTTAACAGAACTTTAACAAGTTTTAAAAAAATTTTTACTTATTATTTTATGTGTATGAATGTATTGCATGTGTGTGAGTGCACCCGTGTCATGCAATGCCTTGGAGGTCAGAAGAGGGCTTCGGATTCCCCTGGAACTGGAGTTAAGGACGGTTCATAGCCGCCATGTGGGTGCTGAGAATCAAACCCAGGTCCTCTGCAAGAACAGTGCTCTTAACCATTGAGCCATCTCTCCAGCCCCTATTTATTATTTTTATTTTATGTGTATGAGTATGTAAGTGCACCCTGCACTACAGTGCCTGCAGAAATCAGAAGAAGGCATTGGATTTCCCCAGAACTGGAGTTATGGATGGTTGTTAGCCAACATGTGGGTGCTGGGTATTGAATCCAGGGCCTCTGCAAGAGCAGTCAGTGCTCTTAACCGCTGAGCCATCTTTCCAGCCCCTGTGTCTGCGTGTTTTGCCTACACGTAAATGAGTACACTGGTGCATGTGATTCCTATAGAGGCCAGAAGAGGGTGTCAGAGCCCCTGGAATGGGGGTTACAGATGGTTGTTAACTGCCATGTGGGTGCTGGGAACTGAACCTGGGTCCTCTACAATAGCAGCCAAAGCTCTTAACCCCTGAGCCATCTTGCCAGCTCCCCTGAACACAGGATTTTGAGAAGATTCATGTGATACTATTATGTTAGGCAAGGCAAGGTTGAGGTCAAGTCTGTAGTAAATAGTGAAAAGACCCTCCCCAGCTTCTCCACCTTTGGGCCCAAATGGATGCCAAAATATGCTTTAGGGAGAGAAAGGTTGGCAAGTCACCAGGAGCCATGGTGTGAGCTACCTGGAGACCCACGTAGCTTGTTGCCATTGTGACTGGAGCCTAAAGGCTGACTACTGTAGAGATTTTCTCTGCTTTCTGGGACTAGTGGACCTGTTCCCATAAGGGGACTGCCCTATGGATAAGCTGTGAGACATCTCCAGGGCCTGCCTGGGGTAGCGCAAGCCTGTAAGAACTTGTGGAGAAAGCACAGTGACCAAGCCTGCTCAGGGATTGGACGCTGCAGGGGAGAAGGGATGATGTCCATGTTAATGCCAGGCCAGGTTGGCCACTATGAGAACAGAACAGGCATTGTCTCTCTACCTTCTCCAGCATCCTTCTAGCAAATTCCAGCTGGTGTAGCTGCTGCTGGTGGGCTGCTGCAACCTCAGTGTAGGCCTTGGCAAGGTTCTTCTCCTGGACATAGCAAAATAGGGAGAAGGCATGCAGAGTCAGCTCCTGCCTGGGACGCTACAGAGCTGCTGCCAGGGGATGCTAAGCCCTGCCAGGACCCGGCTCACCTGGTCCTGGATGCTCTCCTGCAGGGGGATCGCTCGGAGTCTCTTGGGGGCTGATACTGCCAGGGTGGGCTCCAGGGAGCAGCGGTAGGTATCTGCCTGCAACTCGTAGTTCTGAGCAGGGGGGAAAGTGTTATAGAGACTGGGTATGGAGGAGCAGGGAAGGAAGAGGAAGAGAGGTTGGTGTATTGAGAGGGAGAAGCTGAAGTGCTTACCTGAAGAGCTTCCTGCAGGTCCTGGGAGAGGCGGGACACTGTGGCTCTGTCTTGCTCCCGACCCTGGATTTCCTGCATCAGCCTCTGCCAATGAGGAAATAAGAGTCTGGAGGCTGGGAAATGCCCCTGTCCTCTAGCCAGTGTCTCCAAGGCCACAGGCAGCCGGCACACGTGGAGGCAGAAGGGACAGGACGGGCTGCTGAGAGGAGACCCTGCCTTCCTGATGCTGTTTTCTCAGACTTCCTCCTGCCTGGTGGCCCTTGGAATTCTGTCCTGGCCCAGTGACTCTTGCACTGTAGCTCTGGTGTGTGGCAGACTTCCCCAGAGAGCTCATTAGGCCCCAGATCCGCTGGACCCAGCTACCCAGTGTGACTCTGCAGCTCTGGGTGCAGCTGAGAGGGTACGTTTCAGACAATCTTCTAGGTGACCCTAATGCTGTGGGGCCAGGCGCCAGGCTCTGAGAACCACTGCTCAGCCACGATCATTCTGAACTTTGGCTGCCCCCTCAGCATCTTAAAAAAAACCCAATGCTCTGACAATTCCAAGTTAATTGTCCCTGGATGGGGTCTTAGCCTCCCCCTCCCTTACCTGGGTTTCTGTCCTGGCTCCCCAGGAGCCTCCCTCTTTTCATCCCCACTCTTCTTACGACTTTTATTCACCATTTGGAGCTATAGAATTTTTTTTGTTTTTTGAGACAGTATCACTATGAGCCCTGAATGGCCTGGAACTCTCTATGTAGACCAGGCTGGCCTCAAACTCACAGAGATCCACCTGCCTCTGCCTTCTGAATTCTGGGCATCTGCCACCATGCCTGGCCAACAACCATAGCCACTTTCTTTTTTATTATTTTAAAAAGTATTTTATTATTTTTTATTTTATGTGTATGTATGTATTGCCTTCATGTAGGTAAGTACACCCATGTCGTGTGATGCCTGTGGAGGACAGAAGAGGCTGTTGGATCCCCTGGAACTAGAGTTATGAACAGTTGTTAGCTGCCATGTGGGTGCTGGGATTCGAACCCAGGTCTGCAAGAACAGCCAGTGTTCTTAACCGCTGAGCCATCTCTCCAGCCCACCATTTTCTTTTTTTAGAGATTTATTCATTTTTATTTTATCTGTATGTTTGCCTACATACTTATATGTGCATGCAGTGCCTGTGGAGGCCAGAAGAGAGTGTCAGATCCCTTGGAATTGGAATTACAGGCAGTTGTGAGCCCTCATGTGGGTGCTGGGAACTAAATCTGGGTCCTCTGCAAGAGCAGCCAGTGCTTTTGACTGCTGAGCCAGCTCTCTAGCCCATAGACACTTCCAAACACTAATCTGTGGGTGACTCCCTCCCCCAGGCCTCCCAATGTTGGAGAGTCAAGGCCTCTTATGTCTGGAAGGGCCTGGATGGTCTGCTTCTTGTTTGGGTGCTCCTGCCTCATAGCCTCGCCTCTCCCTAGACCAGAGTCCTGGGAATGAGTCTTGCCCCCTCCACCAGGCTCCCCCTTTCCTCAGGCTGCTTGCGCTCACGTCCACAAGTGTACACTAGGGGGCACTTGCAGCAAGCTGGCTTTTCTTAAGCCTGGATGGACAGAGTTCCCAGCAGGCGGGCTGCCTGAGGGAGAGAGGGGCTGTACTCTCTGCCCTGGCTTATCGCCTGGAGCCTTGGCAAGGATGAGGAAGATGTAGCAGTGGCTGGAAGCCCAGGGCCCACTTGAAAGTACACCTCTGTAAGCTGAGGTGGGGAAGGGCCAAGGCCCACACAAGCAGCTATCCCTACTGGGGAGGTGGCTGGGAAGGTAGAGGAAGCTAGAGGCACCAGATCTAGGCAGGGTCCCACCGTACCCTCAGGTTACCTGTAGCCCCAGCCCCTCACCTTCTGTGCTTGCAGCTTGTCAGCGATCTGGCTGGGCCCATCGCTCGGCCGCACCCGGTTGTGGGGCAGCTGCTCCAGCCACGAGCTCAGGTTGTCCCTGCAGTTCTTAAACTGCTGGTAGGTGAGGCAGGCATCCTGCACTATCTTCTCCCTGCCAAGAGCAAGGCAGAAGTAAGAGTTACACCTCTGGGGAGAGGTAGGGGGTGTTCAGAGGAGGCCGATGGATCCTTCCACCTGAGGACAGAGGAGAAGCCCTAAGTAACTGGCCATGCAGGTCTTTTCCTCTCAGACCCTATGCAGAGACACAATGAACACTCCCTGCCTGGCAGGGAAATACGTAGTTATCAACCTATTTTAGAGGTGAGGAAACAGACTAGTTCAAGGTCACATCAGTAGCAGTGCCTTGGGGCCATCCCCTTCCACTCACCTCAGATCCAGCTGGTCCCCCACAGCATGGTAGCGGTCTGTGAGGGCCCGCACCTGGCGCTGCTGGCGTGGCAGATCCTGGCAGAACTCCTGGAAGTTGTTCTGCAGAGCGCCGCATGCGTGCTCAGTGGTCTTCAGCTGGCGGTGCAGCCCCAGCAGGCAGGCCTGTTGCTCCAGGAGCTCCCTCTGCTGGTGCTATGGAAAGAGAAGACAGTCCCATGCAAGCTCAAGGCTCTGCAAGATGCCCAATCCACCCCCCACCTGCTCCGCTCCCACAAACCCCTACCTTCAATTCTCTGACCCTCTCCTGCAGTGCCCCTGAGCCTTCGGGGATAGAGCCCTCCTGGGCTAGGGTGGACTCAAAGCCTCGGATGACCCTGTCCGCCTCCTGGATCTGCCGTTCCAGACCCAGGGCAGCCTTGGCTCTGTAGTGAGGAAGGGATAGTTGGACTGGACACCGCAGCCACATCTCCCATGCCCGCTGGATTGCCCTGTCTCTAGAGCACTCACTTCTCCCCGTAGAGGTTGCACAGAATCTGCATGTCATTAAACTTGTTCTTGACATTGTTGAGGGCCACAGGCAACTGCAGGGCAGCTGGGCCCACAGGCTTGACAGACAGAAATGCTTCACACTCCTGCTGGGTTGCCTCCTTCTCGGTTCCCAGGCGCTGAAGGTGCTGTGCTGTACCCTTGGGGGAAGAACAGAGTTAGGGATCCCTGAGCTCAAGGAAGCAGGATAGAAGCTTGGGCCCAGGCCTGGGTCCTCTAATGTGGATGGCCTAGGGCAGGCCAACCTTTGTGACCCTTGGTCTTTTCATCTGTAGAATGAAGGATGGGAGATGAAATGAGATCCCATGTATTAGGTCCTTGGCAACAAGAGCCAGGCACACAGTTGCCTGTTGCAAGCACTGTCACTGGTCTGCAAAGGTCATCACCCTGTTGCCTCATGGTTAGGCAGGCCGAGCCCTAGGGCTGCTGCCTTCCCTCTCACATCTGCGATTTATTCACCCATTCCATACAACAGACTGGCTGGTTGAACTGGGGTTCTAGTGGCCTGCTGACACCCTAGGGCTGCTGCCTTCCCTCTCACATCTGCGATTTATTCACCCATTCCATACAACAGACTGGCTGGTTGAACTGGGGTTCTAGTGGCCTGCTGACACCTCTATTGTGGCAAGTGCTATGGCATTAAAACCCAAAGATGGTTGGATGTTGTGGCATGACACATACCTGTAATCCTGGCACTCAGGAGGCTGAGACAGGAGGACAGAGAACTCAAGACCAGCTTGGGCAACATAGAGAGACCTAACTTGAAACAAGCAAACAAAAAACCCAAGGACCTGTTTTGGTGTGACAGGGTCAGTCGTCAGCCTCTGACATCCTGCATCTATCCCTGGTGTCCCACCTGTGAAACCCCAAAGAGCTCTCAGCCGGTTCTTCTCCATTCCAGAGTGACCTCCACACACCCCCACCCTTTGGGAGGCCTCTCCCCTCCTCCCTGACCCTGCTGAACTTCTACTTCCTTCCCATCGTCCACGCTGCATGATGGAAAGGCCAGAACAGGTTACACAACGTGAATGAACAGCATGGTTCACATTTTTCAAAACCAAACACTGATGTATGCTGTATTTAAACAGAAACCGGTTCAGAGAGTTAACTAGACTACTTGGGTGTGGGGAAGGCAGCTTTCTCCCAGCACTTTCAGAGTGTTGAGTCCATGTGGCAGAGGACATGGCGACATTTACACATTACCACCTCTCCAGGAGGGTTTTTCCTACAGCTAGGAGAAGTCGTCCCTTATGGGATATCCCAGGTTTCCTTGCTGTTCCCAGGATCATCACTAGAGAAGTTTCTAGGTGTGGGGCCTCTGCTCTGGCCTGGGCACTCTCACACATTCATCCTCAGGACACACAAATGAGCTGGGTACCATCCCAGAGAGGAGGAAAGCAAAGCCCAGAGAGGGTAAGTGGCTCACCCAAGGTGACAGCCCATCAGTAGAACTAGGATGGGGACCCCATTTTCTGAGTCTCCTTTCCCTTGGGTTCCATGGCCCCAAGAGTGTGTGTACCCTCAGAGCAGGTCTTATATCAATACTGAAGCCCTCGAGGCTGCTCACCCACCTCATGGCTGTGAATGCGGCCCTCTAGGTCGTCCAATGGAGTGGAACGGTTCAGTGGGGTCCGGGTCCAGGTCAGCAGCTGCTTCTCAATCTGTCCTAGGTCCCCATCCAACTGGGTCATCTGTGTCAGGAGCTTCTGAGCTTGTGGATCAGCTGGGGCTGAACCGGCTGGAGTTGGGGGCAAAGGTGCTGGTGAGAGTCCAGGCCTACCTTATGTCTGCCTGGGGTGGGCCCTCCTGTCCATCATGGCCCTCCCATCAATCCCATCTCTGGCCATCCCCTGGTACCCTGCTGGCCAGGCTGTAGGGGTTCCGCAGCAGTGGCCTTCAGATGGCTCTTTACTGTAGCCATTTTCTGCTTCAGAGTCCGCAGCTCCGAGGCCAGTCTGGAATGAGGAGACAAGGGTGTCCTTCTTTTCTTTCCCTCTCCAGCCCCAGCATTCACTGCTTCCGAGGAAGAAAACATTTGGGCCAGGGTCTGCAGGCAATTGGTCTTAGTGCCTGTAGGCATCCTGGGCTGACCTACCTGGAGGCCCTGGCCACAGCTTCAGGGTCTGGTGCTGGGATGCAGAGGCAGGTGGCTGGGACACTCTTGGTCTCTCCCCCAGGACCCTGAACTACCCAGGTGTGTGGGTCAGCGTTATCCATGAGTGTGTACCGTTCTCCCCGAAGCAGCTGCACCTGCGGGACAAATGGGAAGAGTTCATGCAAGATTAAGTGCAGGGCCTGGGGAGGCAGCCAGGGCTGAGGACAGGGATGGGTGGGGAAAGTAACTAGAATGGGCTAAAGTAGGGGTGGGAAGGGCTGGGGAAGGGACAGGGCCAGATTAGAGGTGGGACAGAGCTTGGAGAGGAGTAGGGCTGGGTCAGGAAAGGAGTAGGGAAGGGACAAGGTCGGGTATGTTAGTACAGGGCAGGAGCTGGCTGGGGTTGGAGCACGGTGGGATGAAAGGGCAGAGACTGGGCTGGATTAGGAGGACAGGTAGAGTTCATACTTCTCCTGAATCCCAGTCACAGATGCTGTCCACTTGCAGGGGCTGTTTGGGCGAGTTCCTGCGCTGTGGCAGAGGGGCCACTGCCTGGCTCTGCTGCTGCAGGTCCCCAATGGCCCGCTCAGCCACAGTCAGCTGCTTTTCCTCTGCCTGTTGGGAACCCGGGCAGCAGGAGCTCAGGCCAGACTGTGCTGGAGGCCACCTACCCCACTTCCACTTCCCAAAAGAGCCCAGGGTGTGGCCTTCATTAGGGCAGAGTTCTAGGTCAGGCTGGTTGTGCTAGGTTGATGGGTAAGGGAGGGGGCCGGGTTAGCTAGAACCATACAGGTCTCCAGAGTGGAAGCTGCTGGGATCTCAGAGCTGTCCTAGACTTCTCTTGTTGCATTACAACTGAACAGGCTGAGGGGAAGGGCAGGGCTTGCTGGTAAGCAGGCAGCCTTCTTCTGCTGGAACAGCCCCTTCTCTGGCCCTCCCCAAGGTGGGGGCTTGGGGATGAGCTGGGGACCAGGGTGGGGAGAGGGGAGCCCAGAGAGGCAGTAGGTTGTATTAGCAGGAGCGGGATGCAGATGACCTCACCTCCAGCTGTAGTAGAAGTTCTGCGGGGGAGCCAGAGGAGCCCCCAGGGGCAAGGCTGTACTTGGTGTCCAAGTTGGAGTTGAGCTTAGCCAGAGTCTGGCTGGCTGAGTCGGCCTCTTCCTGGAACTAAGGTCACTAGCTGGTCAAGGGCAGAGCCAGGGGCAATTTGCTGCCCACTGACCTTGCAAAGTGGCTGGACACTGACCAGGCTGAACCCACACCAGATAAAACCCAGGCCAGCAAAATTCAAACCAGCTAAATATAAACCAGGCTAAATCTCAACCAACTAAACAAAGACCAACTACATCTACCCAGGCAGTGAGACCTTTTTAAAAAGGATGTCCAGCTGGGCATGGTGGTGCATGCCATTAATCCCAGCATTTGGGAGGCAGAGACAGGCAGATCTCAGTGAGACTGAGGTCAACCTGGTCTACATAGTGAGTTCCAGGCCAGCTGGGGCTACAGGAGACCCTGTCACAAAAAGAGCAAAGAGAGAGAGAGACAGAGAGACAGAGACAGAAAGAGACGACAGAGAGAGTCCACAATGGGGCACTCTTATCAGTGAAAATAACTTTGTGTGTCATAAAACACCTTTAAAAAAATTTGCACTGAGGGTCTTGTTCGTGAAACCAGTCAAGTTTTCTGTTACTGAGCTACAACCCCAGCCATCTTTTCTTTCTATCTCTCCAGCCCCAAGAGACTATTTTGTTTAAAATTTTTTTTCATTTTATTTTTATTTATGTGTCTGTATGTGTGTGTCTATGCTACATGTGTGCAGGTGTCCTCGGAGCTGGAGTTACACGCAGTTGTCAGCCACCATGTGGGTTCTGGGAACCTGGATCCTCTGCAAGAGCAGCCAGCACTCTTTTTTTTTTTCTTTTGGTCTTTTTGGGGTCTCCCTGTAGCCCCAGCTGTCCTGAAGCTCACTATGTAGACCAGGCTGGCCTTGAACTTAGAGATCTGCCTGTCTCTGCCTCCTGAGTGCTGGGATTAAAGGCATGCGCCACCATGCCTTGCTTATTTATCATTTTTATTTTATGTGTTTGAATGTATTGACTGTATGTATGTGAGTGCATCTGTCGTGCAATGCCTCAGAGGTCAGAAGAGGGCTTCGGATTCCTCTGGAACTGGAATTAAGGATGGTTCGTAGCCGACATGTGAGTGCTGGGAATCAAACCCAGGTCCTCTGAAAGAGCAGTCAGTTCTCTTAACCACTGAGCCAGCTCTCCAGCCCCCAAGAGCCTTTTTATTTTATTATTTTATTTTTTGGTCTTTTTGAGACAGGGTCTCCCTGTAGCCCCAGCTGGTCTGGAACTCACTATGTAAACCAGGCTGGCCTTGAACTCACAGAGATCTGTCTGCCTCTGCCTCTGCCTCCCGAGTGCTGGGATTAATGGCGTGCGCCACCATGACCGCATTCAAGAGCCCCCCCACTTTTTTTTTTTTTTTGTCTTTTTGAAGCAGGGTCTCCCTGTAGCCCCAGCTGTCCTGGAACTCACTATGTAGACCAAGTTGGCCTTGAACTCACAGAGATCCATCCACCTGCCTCTGCCTCCTGGGTGCTGGGATTAAAGGTGTGCACCACCACACCGGCTTTTTTTTTCACTTTTAAGAATCAATTTTCAAGCCAGGCTTGGTGGTGTTTGCCTATAATCCCAGCATTTGGGGAGTGGAGGCAGGAAGACTAGGTGCAAGGCTAGCCTGTGCTACATAGTAAGTTTGAGGTTACTCTGGGCATTGTGAGGCCCTGAATAAAAAAACAAAGCAAGGGCTGGAGAGATGGCTCAGTGATCAATCACACTGGCCGCTATTGCAGAGGACCCAGGTTTGGTTCCCAGCATGCACGTGGCAGCTAAAGGCAGTCCATAACTCCAGTTACAGAAGAACCAATGCCCTCTTCTGGTCTCCACAGGCATTTCACTCACATTTTGAACTTACATACATGCAGGAAAACACTCATACACATAACATAAAAATTAAACAAGAGCCGGGTGTGTTGACACATGCCTTTATTCCCAGCACTTGGGAGGCAGAGGCAGGCAGATCTCTGTGAGTTCAAGGCCAGCCTGGTCTACATAGTGAGTTCCAGGTCATCTGGGGCTACAGGGAGACCCTGTCTCAAAAAAGAAAAAAACAAAAACAGAAAACCAAAACCCTAACCAACAGAGGCTGGGGATGTGGCTCAATGGTAGAGTACTCGGCTAGCACAGTCAAGGCCTCCTAGGTTTAGTCTCTAGTATGCCAATAAAAGGAAAAATAACTTGGGGACTGGGTATACAGCTCAGGTCATAGAGTGAAAGAGAAGCCCCAGGTTCAGTTCTAGCACTACATAAACCAGGTGCACAACATGGTTCGTTCAGCACAACTGTAATCCCAGGAGTAGGAGGAGGTAGAGACGGGAGAGCCAAAAATTCAAGGTCACCTTCAGCTACATAAAGAGTTTGAAGCCAGCCTAGGTCACATGAGATCCTGACTCAAAATTAATTAACTTTAAAATTAAAAAATAAATTCACCCCAGGGGCAAAATCACCCTGCTAAGAACATGTTCTTGTCCTATTTCCCCCCAGGGATCCAGTCAATAGCACAACTCTGTTTAGCGGTTCCCACTTCTCAGGATGGCAGTGGTTGGGCTGCATTATCCTCCAGCGTCCCCACCCGTGTCCCTGGTCACAGGCTCACCTTCCGATAATCTTCCACGTGCTGCAGATGGCTCTCCTGGCAGATACACAGGTTTAGGAAATTCTGCCACTCCATCTTCAGGGCCTCCTGGTGGACCTGGACCACAATAATGAGAGCTGGGATCTTGCCCCAACCCATCAGCCCTCCATTCTCATTTGGGGAAGCATAGGGGAGGTGGGTAGGGCCTCTGCACCTGGATGGGCCCTATGGCTGGGTGCCCAAGTTCTATCATGCGCTCTGCATCATCCTCCAGCTGGGTTATGCTCTGTTCCTGGCCCAGCAGCTCATGCTGCTTGAAGCGCTGGGGATGATTGGAGTGTGGACAGAGGTGAGCACCAGGATGGCCTTGGCTGCCCTCACCACCCAGGCTGGTTCCCACAGACCTCGTACTCCCGCCACACTCCTGCAGGGTCGGGCATGAGGTCGCTCCAGTCCTGCTGCAAGATGCGGCCTTGTTGCTCCACCAGGGTGTTCAGCTGCCGCATGCAGCCTTGCAGGTGTGTGTACAGGCTGCCCAGGTTCTGCCGGCGCCAGGAGGCCGCTTTCTGTGTTCAGGAGAGAAGGGGATGGCAAGAGAGGCCAGTGGAGCACTGAGCAACAGTGATGCTATTAAGGGTACAGAACAGCAGCCGCCCCCCCTTGACACCCAGCCCCAGCTCATCCTCCTGCTCACCAGTAGGTCCCGGTATTGGTTCCGGATGGTGGCTGCATCCTGCCTCCAGCAAGGAGAGAAACATGGCAGATGAGAAGCAGGGTATAGTGAGATTCCCCGCCCCGTGTATGGGCCAGACGCTCCCCACCAACCTCTCTCCCTCAAAGGCCAGCAGATCTAGCCCCACTGTGATGGGAGAAGGTGGGGGGAGGCAGGGAGTGGATAGTGATGCACATCTGGCAGGGTTCACCCACCTGCCCCACCAGAGTTCGCAGCTGCTGCCCGAAAGCCTCAATCTCCCTCTGCAGGATGTTGTGTTCTGCAATCTGCTGCTCCAGCTCTGCCATCCCAGGCCCATACTGGCCCTCACAGACCAGCTTCTGCAAAGGAGCAGATCCCGACCCCTCAATCCCACGAGAAAGGCCTGGTTCTTGGAGCCCAGAGAACCCTTCAGTGCTCCACCCCTACACAGCCTGCGCCCTCTCTGCAGCTGGAAAAGCAGAGATAGTCATTTAGGCAGAGAGTGGACGGGCCAGATGAGCAGCCTGAGGGAACGGCAACTGCCCCCATAGGGAGACATGTTCTCCAATAACTGTCAGGACCACAGTCTCTGGATCCTACTGGTTCCCAGGATTCAAGACTCACTCTGTATTCTGCCTTGTCTGTGACCCAGGCCTCAGCAACCTGCTGCCTGTCCAGCCAGATCCAGGATCCTCAGCATGACCAGCTCCACCCAGGCCCTTCCCCACTGTCCCTGGTTATCATCAGAACCTTTGTTTTAGCATCAAACAACTGATCAGCTTCTGGTGGGTGCCCCTGACCTGTTTCTGCTCCAGCACACGTGCCCAGTCGACCCTGGGCCCCACGTCAGGGGGCAGCACCATCTTCTCATACAGAGCTCGGTACTCAGCGCACTCCTGGGTCACCCGCTCATGTAGCTGCTTGATGCTGCCAAGGAGTGACCAACAGGTCAAAGCAGGGCCAGACCTTCTGGGGACCCCCATCCTCTGTCATGAGCCCAGGTTACTCACTCCTTCTCGATCTCCTCGGCCTGTGGGTGCTTGAGCCGCCGGGCCTTGTCCACATCCAGGAAAAGATCTTTGAGCAACACTTCCGCCTCCTTCAGGTTGCGGCCAGTCTCCTGCTGGTGCTGCAGGGCCTGGTTTTGCTCACTGTTCAGCCGGTCCTGAGGTAAGATGTGGGTCCTGAGTCCCATGTCCCAACCCCCTTTGGCCTTACGGACCCACTGCTGCTAGACTGAACCCTAGTCCTGCGACTCTGGCTGTACCAGTCCACATTGAGGCAGTCCATCAGGCCGAGAGCTAGGGCATCCGTGTGGCAGGTGGCATGGACAGGTGGGGTAGGCAGCAGAGGGTCCCTCCTTTTGACACTCAAAGCACAGTGGAGAAGGAAAACGGAGCCCTCCCTGCGGCTGTGGTTGGGCATATACAGTGGAGGACTGCCTCTTTTCACCATCATAGAAGGCCCTCAAAGGACTCACACACGATGCTCTGGACTCTGGCCTGCCCCTGCTGACTTACCAGCTGCAGCTTCTTCTGGGTCTCCAGGATGTCCCTCTCCACCTGGTCGGCGTTAGCTTGCATGCGGGAGATGAGCAGGGCCAGTTCCTGGGTGGCAGCCCTGGTGGATGGTGGGAGACAGAGGGCAGCATGAGGCCCCCTTCCCTCCCCCAGGGAAGAGTCATGGCCTGGGACACCCTGAGATACTCAGCCCAAGACATTTGGGGAGGGCACTATGCCCTGCATGAGGGTTCAGAAAGTGACAGTCAGGGTGTATGATGATATGAAGTAGGTGGACCTCACACAACCCAGCCTCAACCAGCTGGCCGAGTTGTGACTTCCCAACTGCCTGCCTGCTCTCTGGGGCTGGTGAGTAGGTGGCCCAAGGAGAAAGTAAATTACCTAAGACAGCCTGGCTGGCCTCAGGAGGGGCAGCTGGGCCAGCTGATGGCAGGAGAGTAGTTACATAGCTCCCGCCCCAACCTCCCCTCACTCTGGTCTTGTCTGATTCCCTATCCCACCTTCCCAGGAGGCTTTGCCACTGTGGAGACTTTAGTAACCATCTGGAGAAGCCAGTTTTGAGGTGGAGAGAGGTCAGGAGATGGTTAGGGCACCCTGATATCCTCTAGATTCAGGGACTCAGAGCTGGGCCTATGGCTTGATCTGCTCTGCATCGCACCATCGGGAAGGGAAGGCTGTAGCTCAAGCCCAGGGCTCTTTCCCATGTGCTTATTCAGTGCCTTTTCTAGAGCTCTATATAGCTCCTACTGTATGCTTGCACTCTGAGATTCAGAGTCAAGCAGATCTGAAAGAGATAAAGTGGTCCAGGCCTCAGGAGCACAATGTCTTATGGGAGTCATGAGCCTGGAGATGGGGCAGCTACAGGTGAATCCTGACCCAGGGCAGTGCCAGCTAAGACACAGCAGTCTAAAGAACTCTGTAGTTGGGGCTAGAGAGATGGCTCAGTGGTTAAGAACACTGGTTGTTCTTGCAGAAGACCTGGGTTTGAATCCCAGCACCCACATGACAGCTAACAACTGTCTGTAACTCCAGTCACAGGGGATCCAACAACCTCTTCTGATCTCTGCGGGCATTGCACGACATGGGTGCACTTACCTACATGCAGGCAATACATGCATACACATAAAAATAAAAATAATAAATAAAATATTAAAAAAAAAGAACTCTGTAGTTAGGAAGGCCTAGACTTGGCCCTTCTATACTAGTGCTCACTATGTAGCCCAAGCTGGTCTTGAACTCCTGACTGTCCTGCCTCTAGCTCCTGACACGCTGGGTTTATAGGTATGTGCTACCTCACTGGGCCTCATTTGTAAAATATTATTTTTATTTTTTGCTTTATTCCTTCTTTTGCTTTTTGAAACAAGGTCTCATTCTGTAGCCCAGGCTGGCCTAGAACTCACCATGTAGGTCAGCCTGGCCTTAAACTCACAGCAATCTTCCCAACTCAGCCTCCTAAGGGTTGGAATTACATGTGAGCCACCATGCCTGGCTAAAATGGGGTTTTAATATCTTCAATACAGGGTTTTTGTTTCTTTTTTTTTTTGAGACAGGGTCTCCCTGTAGCCCCAGCTAGCCTGGAACTCACTATGTAGACCAGGCTGGCCTTGAACTCACAGAGATCCACCTGCCTCTGCCTCCCAAGTGCTGGGACTACAGGCGTGCGCCACCATGCCCAGCAACACAGGGTTTTTATAAGCATTAAAATTAATCCGTCAGAAGCATCTGGTCCAGAGCCTTGCATAGTCAGCACTCAGGATGGATTAATGTTTATTGTACTGATATGAGCACCTTGAAGGTAGGGACCCCACAGCTGCGTTTGCTGAGGGAACCCCAGAGCCTAGGACAGTCCTGGCACACTATCAGTGCCAGGAAAGGATAAGTTGGATGAATAGACAGTTCTTAGAGAAACAAGGAGCCCTTGACCTTGCGAATGGAGTTACCAAAAGTCAGGAACTCAAGGCCAGGAGGTTTTGGGAGCTCCAGGTAGGGCCCAGCCTCAGGTCTGGCCTCTGGCAGTGCTGCTCCCACAGGGTACTGTGCTCTCCACCCTGGGCTGGGTTCAGTGCCCCAGGGGGACAGGTCGTCACTGTGTTAAGCCTCACTGTGAGAGGCTTAACCACTGTCCTTCCTGTCTGCCCAGATGCCCAGCCACTGGGTTGGTGCCCTGATCCCTATCCCAGTAATGGGCCCTGGGACCTCAGCCTTTCATTTAAAAAGCTCTTATCTTGACACCTCTGCACACCAACACCTGACTCCAAGCAGGCTGCCATCTCCTCCTACAAAGGAGTTAAAGCAAGTGAGCAGGAAGAATATGGCCAAGTCCTACAAAGAGCTGGTAATCAGTTGCAGGCACGGTGCCAGGGCCCCTCACCCATTGGGGAAAGGTCCTCCCAACTCAAAGGAGACATCCAAGGCCCAAGGCTGGACTTTGGGGAAAAGTTAGTTAGGAGGGAGTCAGGCCCCAGTCTCTTTACACCAGAAACCCTTCTCTTGAGCTTCTTGGTCCTTCCACCCACCAGGTAGCAGGTTCCAAGACATCCCAGCCAAGTGGAGTTTCAGGAAAGAGAGGGCGAACAGGGAGCCAGGCTCTGATGGTCTGTCACCCTGTCTGGCAGCACTCCTGCAAAGCGGCCCTCCACCTGTGGCCCTCGGGCCTACCCTGAAGCAAGAGAGAGTCCAGCCTTGGGTCCTTGGCCTCGGGACCGCCACCACCAGGTAATTGCACCACCCCATCCCAGCCCGGCTCACCTACTGTGCTTGCTGGGGGAGCCTTTAGGGGACCCCTTGGATGGGGAGCCCTTGGGGGATCCCTTCCCCTGGGAGCCTTTGCTCAGCCCCTTGAACATGGTGGTGCTGCAGGTGCCGGCTCAGGCTGGAGAGGAGGGCGGGCAGGCGGCGTGCGTCCTCGCTGGCTACTAGCCGGGCTCTGCAGCCGTGGGGCGGTGGCCGGGGAAGGCAGTTTCTGGGAGGCCCCTCCCTGCAGGTGCGGCGGTCCCTGCCAGGCCCGGGCCGCGCATGCCCCACCTCCCTGCAATCAGCTCCAGCACAACCAGTCTGGGAGGAGAGGGCACAGCCCAGGGATGGGGCGCCCGTGCGCGCGACTCCCACGGAGGTTTAGACTTGTTACACCCATGCGCCCAGGGAGAGAGCAGCGATCACATCCAGATAGGGAAATGGCCCAACGGGAGCTTGGCGAGACCGAAAAGATGGATGCAAATGCAGGCTCAGGGGGCCTCGAGCACTGATTAGCCAACGCCTAGGCATGCACAGAGGGGCTATCAGCCAGGTCCCCATCCACCCACAGCTCGGCCTGCCCAGGAGAGGTGAGGTCACCCAAGGCCTTGCTTCCTGGTCGCCATGGAGCAGCCAGGAGACATACACCCAGGCAACTAACATTTTTTTTTTAGACAAGACCTTTTTGTGTAGGCCTAGCTGATCTAGAACTTATTATGTAATCCAACCTGGCAATCTTTCTGCCTCAGCCTCCCAAGCTGTGAACTTGCTACATAGACCAGACTGGCCTGGAACTCACAGAGACCCATCTGCCTTTGCCTTCCATATATATTATTGAGCGTTTGTACATTTCATACAACAGTTCTTAATCAAATTTAGAACCCCTCCTGCATCTGTGCCCCTTACCCCCCCCAACCAAACTTCATGTAGTCTGCCATACATGTTAACTCCTATTCAGTCAAGCATTTGTACCCAAATTCATCCATTGGAGTCTACTCAGCCTATCTAGAGATCATATATTTTTAAAAGTAGGTGCCACCCAGGACCCACAGTTCCATGCACCAAAGGGACCCTTCAAAGAGTATCAAGCTAGCTCCAGAAAGGCCAAGACACCCACTGTACATCCTCCTCTAGCACCATCAGGGTTGGCCAGCCCAGCTGCTAAGCCCTGGCAGAGGCCACTGAACATCAATGGTACCCTGGTTGCTCCTCTGCTCCCCTCTCCGTCTCCTGGTGGACAAGCCACCTGGCTCTTGTGGTTTCTACCAAGTCAACTGAGTGACTGGTCAGGTTATACTGGGTTAGTGGCCTTTCCTCACAGCAAGTGCCAAGAAAGCCACCAATTCTTTCTAGTAGGACCTCAGTTCTGGTGCTGAACAAGGGGCAGGGCACAGTCATGTGGTTTGGAACTGGGATGTCCTAGCAGGGATGACTAAAGGCAGAACATATCCCAGCAAAGAGAGATGTCCCAGCAACTTGGGGAGAGCAGGGACAGAAGTTGAGTCTGGCCACAGGCCCCACTCAGCAGAAAAGAGGCCTGAACATCTTTTGACTGCATGTCATAGACAAATTACTACACTTAACCCCTATACCAGAGAGGATACTCAGGAGTTCCCTGTTCCCAAAGAAAAAGGTTGACAGAGGCAGTGGGGGGTGGAGAGGGCTGGGCCAAAACAAGCAGTCACAGGAAGCAAGGCGGCCTGTGACGGACCGGCAGAATGTGATTATTAGTGAGATGGCGCTAGAGATGCAAAACAGTTCGGTCTCCCCATCTGTCCCAGCCCCCAACCACTGTCGTCCTGGTGACAGCTTCCTTCTAACTACTACTGGCGTGCCAGCAATTGACTATTCTCACGAGGGGCCATTTAAGTGACTGCAGGGTCCAGAGGCCAGCAGCCTCTCTTCCCAGAGCCATGTCCACACAGCTGCTGCCTCCACCTTGAATATAAGCCCTTCCCAGGAGTGGGGCCAAAGGTTGGGATGTGTTCAGCCCCCCCAGCTGGTCTATACCACTGAATCTCTCTCCTCTGTAGGAGCCCTCCAGGCAACAAATGAACATTACAGGGCTCCTTGCACGCACCAGAGCGCAAGAGCTAATTGACACACTGCAAGAAAAACAAAGAGTCCACTTTCTGGCATGACTGTCCACTGACGGATCAAATCAAACCAGCTCCCAGCTGAAGGCTGCCCAGCGGCAGGCAGGAATTTGCCAGACCCTGATGTGACCCATCCCTGTGGAGTGTTCCTGCTCAGATGGCTGCACCCTGGTTCTAAGAATAAATCACAGGAGCAAGGAGAGAGCTATGGTTTTTTGTATTTATTCTCTACGGCATTTTCAAGACCAGGATGGGTCTGCTGGTCTCTTCGGAGACACACAATGTTCCGCATAGTAGCCATGTGGTGCTAGGATCAAAGGCGTGTGCTACCACGCCTGGCTATTTTTAAATTCTTAAAATTTATTTTTATGCGTATGACAGTTCTGCCTGCATGTATGTTAGTGTACCTGTGCATGCAATGCCCATGGAGGCCAGAAGAGCCCCCAGTTATTATTTTTTTTAATATGGCTTTTACTGCTGGGGGTGTAGCACAGAGTGCCTACCTCAAATTCATGAAGACCTGGTTTCAATCCCCAGCACTGCATAAACCCAGTGTGGTAGAATGCTCCTGAAATTCCAGCACTTGGGAAGTGGAGGCAGGAAGATCAGAAGTTCAAGGTCATCCTTGGTTACGTGTTGAATTTGAGACCAGCCTATTTGAGTCCCTGTCTCAGAAATAAATAAATAGGGGGCTGGAGAGATGGCTCAATGATTAAGAGCACTGGCTACTCTTGCATAGGCCCTGGGTTCAGTTCCTAGCCCTCACGTGGCGGCTCACAACTATCCATAGCTTCAATTCCAGAGGAGCTGACGCTCTCTTCTGGCCTCTGTGGGCATTACACACAGAGATGCACTTATATGCATGCAGGCAAAACACTGATACAAATAAAATAAAACTTTAAATTTAAAATTTTTTTTTTAAACTGGTAAGGTTTGCACCTGTAGCTCACAATAGAATTCTATTGGACATAACAAACTCTTGTTATCCCAGAACTTGAGAAAAGGGTCAGAAGTTCAAGGTCATCTTTAGCTATATAATAAGTTCAAGACCATCTGGGCCACATGAGATCCCGTTTCAAAACAAAAATTTCAATGACATAAGCCAGGCATGGTGATACATGCATGTAATTCCAGGAGTCAAGAGGCAGGGGCAGGAGGCTTGCTGCCGAGTTTGAGGCTAGGCTGGTCTACATAGTGAGTTCTGGACCAGTCTGGGCTACATGTCAAGACCCTGTCTAAAGAAACAAACAATCTGGGCATGGTGGCACATGCCTTTATCCCAGTACTCTGGAAGCAGAGGCAGACAGATCTTTGTGAGTTCGAGGCCAGCCTGGTCTGCAAAGCAAGCTCCAGGTCAGCCGAGGCTACATAGTGAGACCCTCTTGCCAAGGAAAATAAAGTTAAAGAAAAACACAAATTAAAACCTCCGAACAAAAAAGCTCAGTAGGCTAGTTCTGATCTAGCTGTTGAACAGGGTGCCACAAACTCCTACCTCCCCAGGCTCCCACCCCTGCAGGACATGACTTCTTGTCCTTCCTGTCACTTGCCCTGATCCTCCACTATAGATCTAGAGGTTTGAAGTCAGCTGATCCCCAGGGTGGCACCAACACCACACCCACTGTGATCCAAGTGCCAGTGCGCTCATACTCCTAGTCTGACCCCGTAGTCCGAAACTCCAGGCTAATGTGGGCCAGTGGGGTCTAAGCAGGAGGGCTGAGCAGCCTGGGAGAAGCGTAGCTCAGCTACGAACAAGTGCAGCTAGGACCCAGGGCATGCCAGGGCTCATGCTCGGAGATGCCCACTTCCTCTCCTAGCTCAACGGCCCCTTCAGAGAGGGCATTCACCCTGTAGAAGCAGATGGTAGCAATTCTCCTCCCTGGGAGCTGAGCTGTTCTGTGATAACAGTCTGCCATCTCAGGAAATTGCCCTCTGTTTGTGTAGAATCACTGCCATCAGACCCTTGGACTGAGGCTGAATGACGTTCCTACTTCCCCGGTGAAGAACTCTGGCACCCTCCACCAGTGGGGCCAGAGAGGACAGGCAGGCAGGGGAGTTAGAGGGAGGGGCCTCGTTCCATCTGGGCTAGCACACAGGCTGGGGTACAGGCTGGGCTGCAGGAATTCGCAGTGCTGTCTGGAGGAGGTTATTTTGGCAGCGTCTGCCCAGCAGTTTGATAAAAAGGAATGACGAAGGTCTGCCTGGAGAGGAGCAAAAGGTGGCATGGCCCATCTAACAGGGGCAGCGCAGGGAAGAAAGAGTGGGTGGTTCTTCCAGGCCGTTTACACTGAGGTCTACAAACAGCATCTAAAAAAAAAAAAAAAGTGTGGAGCAAGCCTTTAATCCCAGCACTCTGGAGATAGAGGCAGGCTGATCTCTGTGAGTTGAAGGCCAGCCTGATCTACATAGCCAGTTTCAGGCCAGCCAAGGCTATATAGTGAGACCCTGCTTCAACCCCCTACACTCCCTGCTGAAAGATGTCTGAGAGGAGCAGGTAAAGGCCCTTGCTGCCAGACTGATGACCTGAGTTTGATCCTTAGGACACATGATGGTAGAGACAACTCCCACAAGTTGTCCTCTGACCTCCACAAGTCACTATGCACATGAGTACCTGTACACACACATACACACACACACACACACACAAATTAAGCAATGCCTTTTTTTTTGTCTTTTTGAGACAGGGTTTCTGGGCCTGGAACTCACTATGTAGACCAGGCTGACCTTGAACTCACAGAGATCCACCTGCCTCTGCCTCCCGAGTGCTGGGATTAAAGGTGTGTGCCACCACGCCCGGCAAGCAATACCTTTTTTTTTTTTTGGTCTTTTTGAAACAGGGTCTCCCTGTGGCCCCAGCTGTCCTGGAACTCACTATGTAGACCAGGCTGGCCTTGAACTCACAGAGATCCACCTGCCTCTGCCTCCCAAGTGCTGGGATTAAAGGTGTGCACCACCACGCCCGGCAAGCAATACCTTTTAAACACCCAAACAGAGATGGAAGTAGAGCTCAGTGGTAGAGCACTTACCTAGCATGTGTGAGGCCCTGGGGTCAAGGTCCAGGACTACACATACACACAGACACATTGACATACACAGCACACACACATACA